CTTGACACACCCCCCCCCCCCCCCCCCAAATATTAAGTAGAAACATTTACTGTAATTCCTCAGCAGCCAAACCGTATTCCAATATGCTGAGTGTGCACAGAGGACAGTCATCATCAATAACAAGTTTATTCTCAAGTATGGCTGTTCTTAAGTCATTTGACAAGCAGGAAAACACATGTAAATGAAAACTGCCCTAGTATCTGAATGTGCACCTTGGGGTTCTTGTTCTCCACCCATTCCAACAGATGAGTTGTGCACACTTAAGTGTGGATTCCATGACACAGAACAACCCACCCCCTTGTTTCCTCCCCTCTTGTTTTTCAGAAATCTTGTTGCTCTGTTTTTACAGAAGAAATGTGCACTCGTCTACGTATAAAAGAAAATACAAGACAAAGCCAGGAGACTTCAGGGAGGGCTAATGCTTAAGAATTTTTTGCTTAAGGAATGGGCCTGTATTAGGTTTATACCATATGTATTTCATAGGAACTACATCAATGTAGAAAGATGTTTTTCTGCAAGGCTAGAGTGTTAGTTTTCTAATTACAAACACACACAGAGAACACTTCTGGATTGGTGGTGAAGCTGGATACAGAAGAAAATTAAGTGGCTTGGAAGAATTTAAATTGACAAGGGATAGAGTGTAATTGTTAAAAATAAGGGAGGTTAACAACTTGGGAAAATAAATTTGAGATGGCTAAGATGGTAGATCCATATTTCGTTTAGAAGTTTACTATGTAAGTACATGAATGCCTGTAGGAGTAAGTGACTTGGGGCAGGTTAATATGAAGCCTCTGATAACTAATTACAGTATGAGGTACAATCTTGAAAAATTAAAGCTCTCATCTGACTGTTCTAATCCAGAACAACTGCTTCTTAAACATTTTAGTTATAAACAGACTGTACTCTTCCCCTCTTCTAAGCAGAAGATGCTGGTCACTGTGAAGGTCATTTCTGAATCAGAAACGACAGTACTGTTGCATAAACCCCCAAAATGCAGGACTTGAACTGCATTCTCTGCAGTGGCCTAAACCCGAGAAAGGAGACCATGCAGTTAAGGAACTACTAGACTTAGGAAATGCAAGACATGGACTTGTCCTTTGTCAGTTTCCCAGCATAGGCTAAGTTTCGCTGTTTAGCTAGAGAGGATGTTTAATCCTAGTTAACCTGATCAAGAAGTATTTAGGAAGAAGATTGATAGCTGAACTCCAACAGTAGTAGAGCACAAAGTCTGGTAATCAGTCGATTAAAGTACAAGTTCACCAGGCAAAGGTGAGGCAGTAAGTGTTTTACATTATTCTCTGGCTCTCAAAGAAGAATCTTTGAAATTCATGGGGAACAGTAATCTCAGCTGCATATTAAATACTTTTCTAATTAAGCTGTTTTTCATTTCAGAGCTGGAATGACTGATGCATGCACACGTTGGTTCGCAAATTCATGGTTAAATTACTCCATTTATGTACTGCACATCTGATGGAGGGGAAAAAAAGGCAAATTCAGTTACTTGGAAATGGCTTTAAATGCACTGCATGAACAAAGAGACTGATTCTTATCAGTCCCAGCATTAAATACCTGAAGGCAATAGAAACTAACATCCCTGTGACAGGAAAAAAACCTAGCTGTTCCTGAATAAAGCACTGCACATTCACTTTGAGGGTAACTTAGTGAGACTGGACTTCCAGCTACTGCTAAGTAATTCAGTATAGTTGCCGAGTTCCCCGCCCACCCAACTGTTAACAAGAACAAACAGTGAAAGCGATAGGAGTTATTCCACACCTTGGTAAACTAGTGCTGTTTGGTTATCTGCTATGCGCTCTCAGGTCATGACAGTTCTATTTTAAATACAGCTTAAGCAATGTTTGTTAGGTTAGAAGGTGGATCAGTCCTTCAATCAAATTAACTGCAAAAAGCACGGAACATTTTGGGTAAGTTTTAAAAGCTGACATGGAAAATGCAATGTCAGATTCTCTTAGCACTTTAAAAACTATTTGGTATGTGCCATGTCATTGCTGGCAGAATAGGCAGAGATGTATAAAAAAAGGTTTCATTGACATTTAAATATATTTCTATATGAATGTCTCACAGAACAAAAAAATAAAGTCTTTTCATCACAAATACTGCAGCATTAAAATAAACACTTACCAAAATAAACAATGAGTGATATACATATATATATTTGAGTGTGTATACTATAGAGTGAATCATATTGTTGCTTTTTAAGTCACAAAGCACAATATAAATACGGAATTTCCTGTGAACTCTTTTCCCTGTTGTAATAAAAATACATTCTTTACAGTTAAAGTAAAACTAGTGCAAGTCCATTCTGCTGCTCCTGTTCACCCAGCTGACCAGATCCGTATCATTTACATGGCACTTCATACTTAAAAATGACACTGAAAATTTTCCCTCCGAGACGATCGGCAAGCCAGGAGTTTTTGATAACAGCAAGCTTGAGGCTCTCGCACTTCAAAGCCGCATAGTAATTCGTGTGGATGGCACGCCCCATGCCTTCAATGATAACCAAGTCTGTCTTCCGTTCTCTGACCAGCACAGCCAAACCTTTATCCAGACGGCTGAAATGATAAAGGGTTTTATGATTTACATAAAACGTGGTGGGGGATGGAACGACTGATGCCAATAAACAGGAACACTTTAAATCAAAGGAAGCGAGACTGAAACATAGTTTTAAAAGCTTCATGACATGCCTGCAGAATTGGGATTGCCCAGAAAACACAGGTAAGCTCTGTCTCCAATAGAAGAGCTACTTAAAAATAAATAGGTTAACAACATGGCATGCTTCTTACAGTCAAGTGGAGTTCTTGGTCACATGCAGGATTTTACATCACCCGTAACTAAGCTACTCATGAAACTGACAATGTGTCATTGCTGAACACAAACGTGATAAATAAGATGTCCAACAACTAGGAAGGCTTGATCAGTATTACAAGCCTTTAAATCCAGACCAAGCAACCCTTAATGGTTGTGCAAAAGTGATTCATATCAGGAAAGGCAGCTGAGACGTTCCAGAGCAAAGTCTCTGCACATCCTGCAGCTGATGGAGACAAGTAACAAATTGGTACTTTGCCAGTATACCTTAGATCTAGACATGGAGAACTTGAACCTGTCTGAACCAACAGCAGCTTCTCTTCTCTCAGCGCAGATCTTTATTTAAAAAAAAAAAAAAAGACAAGAACATTAAACAGCTACCTCAACAGGGACATGCAAATCTGGTAATAAGCCAGATCACAATGAATATTTAAGTCTTCTTTGCAAAGGCGTCTTTTACTGCTAGGACTTCACCAAGAAACATGTTTCCTTAAGCAAAAGGATTATTTAGTCAGCTATGTATCCTCTGCTGGGGATATTCTACATGTGAAATACAGGTATTTTCCTCTATTAACATAGGAAATTTATGTTTTAGTAGCTTGAGTGCTTATCAGGAAAGACACAGACAACAAATATCATTATGGATGTTCAAGAAAGATGCAATTTCTAAATTTTTTAACCTTAATGAAAGTAAGTGATTGGCCTTAGCTTACTTCCCGGTTGCAGATTTCAGACACCAAGAAACACAGTTAAATATGAACTAAGTAACAATTAACTTGCTTTTTTTCCTTCTACGTACTGTGTGATACATAATGAAGCCTGGTTATATGCTTACTGAATAACTGGATCCATTGCTGCTATCCGTTCAGTAACAATCAGGGATTCACTGTAGGTGACATCGTTTAGGGCAGGGCCAGAGTTACAAGCCAGTATAACCTGAGGTGAAGATGTCAGAAGAGTTCACCGATTAATGCAGTCCACAGATGGTGTTAGAGCTGCTCATTTCTTTAAAATCACCATTACCTGACTTATTTTACAAAAGAGGAAATGTGAAGAGAAAGGCTGGTGGCCCAGTCCTCATTTTCCCTCAGTTAAACCAGCTATTTCAGGTCTTCTGACATTACAGACCCTTGTTCAACACTTAGGTCTGACAGAGGCTCGCTTTGCTTTGCTACCTTTCACAGTCTACTTAAAGTTAGACTTTGGAGATCCAGGAATTTGGCTTAGTCCCAATTCAGATGTTAGGAGCCAGTCTGGCAAAGGGTACTGCTGGTAGGCAGTTAACAAACCTTTCACCAATTACCAAAGCTCCATTACACAGTGAATTCACAATGAAAACCACTTACCTCTGTCCCTCTAGAAAGCAGCTCTCTGACAAAAGGAAAGACTCCTAAAATTATGTCTATTCCACTGTTATCTGCGAAAATTAAGGCACATTTATGAGGGGGACCCTCCTGTAAGAGAAAACCAATGTATTCAGGATTGAATTCACAATTAATTTCAGTGAATAGTTTATGTTATTTAGAGCTACTCACTTTAAGACCCCACATTTTATGCCCTTAAATGATTGGCAATTTTGGTTATCTAGTAGCAGCGTAACTCATCAGGACATCACCTACCCTCGACCTTAGAAGAAATCAGTTTCCCTAACCTTGTCTTTGCACAGTTATTTAAAACAGCCTTTAGTTATTTTGCTTTGTTTGAGAGCTCTTTCAAACTCTGTTAATAAAACCTGCATCTGCCAATTAAAGACATGCCTAACTCCAGCAGCTCTGAGCAGGAACGTACTTCAGAGGCTTCTGAACAGCGGGTAGTTAGGCCTATAATCCTACTGTTTGTAGGCTCGATTATGGCTAGCATTTTGTTATGCCATGCAGCTGGAGTATGCCATTCTCTAAAATAGAAGCAGCAGCATGGGCAGCTGCCTACGTGAACGCATTGGTTATCAGGGTAAACCTACCTTTGTGGCTGTTTTAAGCTAGCATGCTGTAGGGTGAACAGGATTCCCTTCTGCCAGGAAAGGGCAGGATGGACTGCTGGGGGCAGTGACATCCTAAAATGAAAAGATATTTCCTATTCTCCATTAACCTTTTAATTTGTTCTAAATCTGATGTTATGAAACTTAGTTCACTCCAGTTCATACCAGCAGAAGAATTTTTATAGTGAACAATGCTTAATTCCTAATAAAAGACTGTCAGGACAGTGCTTGAAGTTCCTTAATTATCACTGTTATACAAGATTAGCTGATACTTTTGTGTTAAGATGTAATACGTAATGATTTGCAATAGTCTACTCATACCAAACCTTTTGGCTATCATTGCCAACATAGAGATTTACACAAAGGAACAAAAGCTTTTTCAATTAACCTTGATTGAATAGTAATAGAAATCACACAGGGCAAAAAAAGCTTTGCTAATTGGTAAGTTAATTACTTTCAGCAAGCTCCTCAATTAATGTCATTTTAAGGTTGGCTCCTTAGATGGAGGAACAATCCAAATATTACATTTGGGCCCAAGTTTTCAAAATTATGCATTGTCTTGTATAGAAGTGCCCTTATAAAGAAGGGAAGGGACACAATATGGTTACTTTGGAACAGCGTTGAAAGCAGCTGGATTCCAAACGCTGCAGTTTCTGAAGGAATTCAGCTAAGAAGCTTGGTAAGTAATAAAGCATCAGACTAATTCCTTTTATTCCTTTCTTTATGGTAAGGCTGCTGAATTACTGGTACTGTTACTGTGTAACAGAGTTCTGTTAAATCTGTTAAAAAGCCAGGATTAGTAAGGTGGTTTTATGATTAATGTATTTAATTACTCAGTGGTTAGCAACAATTGTGGAGTCGTACCTTCAGTCGCTCTAGCCACTGACTGTAGGAATCTTCTAACCAGGGACGTTCTGCGTCACAGACAAAATCATGTTAGCATTTCTTTTAG